AGAAAGAAAAAGAGGAGGGATAATGACTCAGTCCTAAGGTTTTCTAGCCTTTCCATTCCACCTGGTGTCTAACTCCATAAAGGACATCCCCCACTAGGTTTTTCTTGTCAAGCTCAAATCAACTTCTCCCTCTGCCCTATGCCTTCTTCCATTATGTACAATAACCCTTTTGCCCCCTCTGTAAAAACAGTTTTCACTCTAACTATTCTTAGTCATTCATTTTAGTCAGAGCCAGAATACCCAAGTTACTTTTGACTCCTCTCTCTGTCTCTTGAACCCTATAGCCAATGAGTTCTCAAGTTCTACTAGTATTTTAATGATTCCCAAATTTAACATTTTACTTCTAGTTTCACTGCCCAACCTAATAGTTAACAATAACTAACCTTTGACAGCAAATATTTGCTATAACCCTCGGAGCCAGAGCTCAGCTCAACAAGAGTCCAAAGATTTTATACCTGGAGGTTTAGCCCCACCCTGTTCTTGACATGATTCTTGCCAGAATAAAGAGGTTATTAGGTGCTTCCCTCATGATCCTTGACCTAGTTTCATTGTGAAAGACAGAATCCCAGTGCCAAGAATAATCCCTAAAGAACTATGACGATCCACTGTTTCTTTCCAAACTACTGAGTTTCTTCTCTGAATTTCTAATTAGTACTATAAATCCCACCACACAAATTGTGGCTCTCATGAAATGTAAGGTCCAGAGGAATGCTGCATAGCTTTTGTCATGGGAATACTGAATTTTCTTTCCAAGTTGTTAGCTAGGTCCTGATCCTACAGCTTGAGGATTCAGTACCAGAGCATGTACAAATACTTGACTTTGTGTGTTACACTATCTAAAATCCTTGTTGTTATGACCCACCTGCTGAATCTGATCCTCTTCCATGTCAGTGCCATGTCTTTTTATGCCCAAGACCTTGTTCAAGAAGACTGGGGGTCATCTCTCTCAGTGAACTGCCCTACAGAAGGATCCGCAGCCCCATCATTAGCCCCTGGTTAGCCTCCTGCCATGCCTAGTTTTCTATCTATGTTTTAAAGCCAAGCCCTTCTCACTTAGGTCATTTTCAACTGTTATCCAATTTAATTTAAAAAAACAAAAAAATGAAATGGAAATCATTATCCCCATTTGACTAAGCATTTTAAAACTCAGAGAGATTACATTACAGGACATACCCCAGGTCACTTGGCAAGAGAGAGTTGGAATTCACATGCAGGTTTTACTGTTCCCAACCTCATTTTGTCTCCACTATGTCAGCCTTCCTTTTACCATGTCTCACAAGGACAATGGCAAAAGACTTATAACACATCATTGTCTTCCAAATCATCTTGTACATTATTATAAGAGTACACTTCCTAAACCTGCATGGCCATCATATAAATCCCATGCTCTAAATTAATCTTCCATAATTTCCTACTTATTTATGAAATAAGAGCCAATTCTCAAAACAAGTATGTGAAAGTCTCCATAATCTGGATCCAGATGACCCATCAATGTTTATCCCTCATACCCTCCATGATCCTAGCAAACCACACTCAAGCCTAGGCCTCAGCCACTCAGCTTGGATTGTTCTTGAAGCTCTGTGTTCTTTGTTTCTAATTAAATCTATCCCACTGTGTTCTTTGTTTCTAATTAAATCTATCCCACTGTTCAGAGTCCAGTTCAAATTTCACAATAAAAAGCCTCTCCTAACTTCACATTACTCAACCTATCCTGTCTTTATGCCACCTTACACTAGAGTCACATTGGCATTTAACACCAAGAACATTATAAGATTATCTTTTATCCCATAGGGTGACTCACTGAAATTTTCCTTCTCTAAATGCCCACAACACTTGTAAATCTTTCAGGGGACTACCATACTCCAAATCTCAAATAGTCATTAATATCAAGCCCCTTTAGAGAGAATATGTCTTATTTAAGTTTATATCTCTTCTTCTAACCTTAACACAATGCCTTAAGAACACATGGACACGGGGAGGGGAGCACTACACACTGGGGTCAGTTGGGGGGAAATAGGGGAGGGACGGTGGGGGGTGGGAAGCTGGGGAGAGATAGCAAGGGGAGAAATGCCAGATGTAGGTGATGGGGAGGAAGGCAGCAAATCACATTGCCACGTGTGTTCCTATGCAACAATTTTGCATGTTCTTCACATGTACCCCAAAACCTAAAATGCAATAAAATAAATAAATGGGGGAAAAAAAAAGAATAGTAAGGGCTCAGTAAATGAACTAATGAAAGAACGAGTTAATTGAGGAGAAAAAGAAGAAATGTTTTTCTCCAGTATCTACTTGAGATAATGCATTATAAACCTTATGCAACTAAGATTGGAAATTACATTAATATTCCCCAAAAATGTTGAATAGAAATCTAAAGATGTTAAAACAATGTATTTTCCCCAAAATTAAAAAGGAATGTTTAAATGATTTTCTGAATCAAATACATTTTAGAGAAGACATTAAAATTTTAACATACAGGATTTTTGTAACAAAGGGCCTTGAAAGTCCCTTGATTCTGAAGTTGTAAAAGACAGAACTACTACAGTGTTTCTTCTTGTTTTTAACTACAATGAAGAAAGGCTCCAAAATAAAACTTTCTTAATCTTGCTGATTAAGAAATTAATTCTAGACAATCATGTCTTAAAATACATAATAATTTACACATTAAGGGGACCAGACCGTCTTGGTCACTGGATTTCAGAGGGAAGAGAAAACAATAAAAACCATGTTGTCAATTTTTTTCAAAGATTGACTTCAAAAAAATTAATGTGCTGACAATGAGGCCAGATGTATTTCAAAAAACAGTTAGCAGGAAAAAGAAATTATAAATTTAGCAAATATTCTGCCTTCATAGTGCCATATAACTGAAAGACTTAAATTTTTTTATTTCTTCCATTGATTTGGCTTTATGTAAATGCATTCCATAGTATAATTTCACCCATTAGTTTGATAAATCATAAAGAAGTCTCCTCTCTCCCCTAACCCTGTGATAGAGACACTATATTTGTTTTAAAGATCAAATATATATTTTTTAAATCAAATTGTATTATGTAATTACAAAGTCCAATTCAAATTTAAGGCAAAGTTAGAGGTTTTATACACCATGAGGAATGGAGCAATCTTTGCCCTTGAAGAGACATGATATCTTACATTGTCTTTAATGTCTACAAAGTGGGCAAAAATCTCAAACTATCATCCCATTGATGAAAATATCAACCACTAATGAAACTAAGTTTAGTTGTAATGGTTCCTTCTTCCTACTTGCCAACTCTGCCAGATACTACAAGGCTTCCCCAGAAGGCGACTTTCCTGCAAATAATTTACTCTTCCCTTTGTGACAATCTAGCTGAGATATAACTGTATAGACATGAAAGCTATACCATGGTCTCCCTCCAAACAACATTCAAGAGATTTTGTCAGCAAATGTGGCTAAAATGATGCAAATTTTCCTAATTCCAGGCTAAATCTTTCAACATAACTTAAGCTAAAGTTCATCAAGAACTTTAGGCAAGAAAGATCATACTTAGAAATTACATTCTAAAGGGTCCCTAATAAAAATAGAAAAATTAAATTTAAACATAATAAAACAATGATAATAATGTCTTCTGGAACTCAGCTACTAATTCCTTGAAGGAGAAATCTGTAGTTATTACCCATAAAAATAAAGTTTTGGAAACCTAATCCATCATCTGGGTAATTCTGAGTGAAACCTTTTACATATAAGAAAAAAAAATCCAAAGAGAATAGCCCAGAGAGGCTCCTTCCCAGCATAATTATAAAAATCATTAGAAATCCCAAAGGAAAATAAAATTTTATTTAAAATATGATTCACTGATTTGTTTATTTAGAGGGTCAAATTATTCTCCATTTTACATTGTCAGTAGGTATCCTATATTTTAAAACTTAAATCACAGTTTTACCAGCTGTATTTATTCTGAATTCAGCTATAAAATTATTTACTATTTTTTACACTGCAATTTTTCCCTGAAACCTAAACCAGTAATATATGCAAACTACAAAAATAATTGAATCTCTGTTCCATTCTGCACTTACATTTGGTTTGTCCACTAGGAGTACTGATATGTGATGGAACCACATTATGTTTTCTCTGAAAATTTCCATTAATTTTTTTAAAAGCCTACATTCTACTAAAAACAAATTCAATAAATCTCACTTTGTGTTTCTAAAAAACACGTTCTTTAAAGAGAAATTTAAAATCTCAGAACCAAATGTTAGAAGAAACTGAGATTTTTTTTTTTCCCCCTAAAGATTTTTCAAAAATGCTTTGGCTTAGAGAATATATATTATTTACTTCCATTTTAGGATGGTGTTTACCAAATATCATAAATACTTAATAGCAACTGTTCCTAGAGCTTCTAGCAAAAGGCAGTAAAATGAAACATAAACCTCAGCTGTGAAAGCCCAGGAGTTTTGCTTTGCATTTCATCACTCTCCTTCCCCATACAGTACCTGTTTAGGATAGCCCAGATTCTAATGAACACGAGAGACAGCACAACTGAATCCCAAACAGAAATATTATGTGCTCTAGTGAAACTATTAATCATTTAAATGGAAAGAACAACAAATTCAGTCAAATAGCCACTAGTTCAAGTTGCCTGACTGATACAGTTAACAGATACTATATTTGGAGAAGGTAGTAATCACACATTTCAATCCAAATTTTTATTTTAAATGTCTCCTATAAAACTTTCAGGATGTCAAGAAAGTTAACTCCATAATCAAAGGGTGAAAGTGTCTGACACTTAGAATCTTAAACTTGAAACCAAAAACCCAGTCTCACAGAACCCAACATGCAAGATTTAATACCAAATGTCAGTTAAAATCCAGATCTTTAGAATTACACTGTTTGCAATACCAAACAAACCTCTTCTTAATCTCTTTCCTCTAGATAATGACCCCTGCACTGAATATTAAGATTTCTTCTTATAGTTTAAAAAATATACAAAATTATGAGCTCTTCCTACCCCCAGAGAAATACTCACAGAATTAATTATTCCTTTAAGAGCTTGAAATCCACCCTTGACAGGGAAAACTTGCTCCTTAGAATCAGCAATTCTTTCAAGCTTTAGAAAGAAGAGGAAGACTTAATTAAGGAGTGGCTGACACATACAACAATTATAAACTTCATTGCATTTCAGTTATGTTCATCTGAAAAATTAATCCACAGGATTAATTTACCATTGTGGTCTGTGTTCAAGGTCAGGAATTAAAGGTGAAGACACTAGTGTTACTCTAAATGTATTATCACGAAATGAACTGAGATCGGTCATAGTGCCATTAAGTTGGCCCCAAGAGAATTTCAAAACAGTGCAGAGTTCTAATAGCCATCAACAGCATAAGACTCAGGAGTCTAAGCCATGCTCAAGCAAAATTTTAAATATAAAATAACTTTGTAAGTGAAACATTTTCTAAGATACAAACCCTCAAACCTCATGAAAAAAGATGGTTTGTAAGAAAAATTTTTAAATTTCCATTAGATGGACTTCTGAAATTCCCGCATACCTGACAGCCAAATTTTAAATAAAATAGAACTTCTAACATTATATTACATATATGATACTATATATTACATATAAGATAATATTTTGTCAGTTAAGTGAAACAGGAATATGTGTATCACTTCAAGCCAAATGTTTATCTTATATTATTTTACCAAACCAAACAATTGTTTAAGGGATTTAAAGTTTCATTTTCAGTAACAAAACCTATCAAAATTCTTGCATTACTAAGGTAGAGCTCAAAACCTACAGCAATTTCTACAGAAAATCTTTAACAATCGACTAGTGTCACAATGTCACCAGTGAAAAGAATTTGTTAAACTATCCTTAAGACAATTATGTGATTTTTTTCAGATTAAAGTTTTCAGATCTCTTGTAACTCACCTGAGCTTGTTCAAAATCAAGGACACCAACACAATAAACACTAGCCCCAAGTGACCTGGATATCTTCGCCTATGGAAAAAGAGGAGAGAGAGAGAGAGAGAGAGAGAGGGAAAGAAAGAGGGGAGAGGGAGAAAGTGAATTATTCAAATATCAAGCTATACATTCCGAGACACACAGCAATGTACAGTGGGGTGTAGAGAACAGTCTCAGTTCAATACTCACCTCTTTCTCTGCATATGATGGCACCAGACCATCCAACTTGCCATCTGTCAGAGCAATTATGATACTGGAGGTTTTCAAGCCTCCTGCTTTCTGAATTTGTTCATTCGCCTGAAAATGAAGAATAATTATCCAACTCACAATTTAATTTTAACTTTTAACCAGCATGTTCCATCAAGCTGAATTTGTAAGTCTGACAAAATCAAAATATTACTGGCTAGCTTTTAAAACAGAGTAATTTGTTTTAACTATTTTATTTGAAATATGCATATTCACATTACAGAGTAGTTACTATTGGGTTTAAATTATTTAGATTTTTAGCTGTGGCTGCTTAATCTTAATATAACCACAAGGGAAATGGAAAATTCCTTAAAAGGCAAAATGCCATCCTAACTTTTATCGTCATCACAGTAAATAATTTTTTCTACTTGTCTCATCTCTAGAACAACTAAAAGCACTTAAAAAATTTTAAGATAAATATGTAAAGAGGTTACTGAGCTTTGCTAGAGGGTTATATTTCATTACAGAATAAGAAAGCATTCTCTCCCATGCTTAGAAATGTAAAAGAACTTACTAGCTTTAGTCCTTCATGGATATATGTCTCTCCTACTGGACTAACACGTTTTAAGTCCTCCAAGCCTTTACTGATTTTGCCTCTGAAAATAATATTAAACAAAAGAAAAAATGAGCAAAGATAACAATAAAAACTTCTTGAAAAACATGTCAGCATTGTAACTAAGATTTCTTCAGTAGGAAGTAGAGGAAAGAACACGGCTTTGAAGGCAAATAATTATACTTTTTGTCATTTTAGCAAGTATTTAATAACTTCTGTATTTTAACTAGCAAAAATAGACATAGATTTACTAGCAGTGTCTTGAAAAATCTAAGCATACTCTAGGACTTCTGAGCTGAGAACAGATATATTCAATCCCTCTTGTTTTCCTAAAAAGAGCAAAACATATCTTCCCTCATCCACAAAAATACAAGGATTCAGAAGCTCAGCTTCAATGACAAAGCATTTCTGAAACACTCACTCCATCTCCCTAAAAGTGAGAAATTTTCTTTATTATCTGAGAATTGCTAAAGCACATTTTTTAGCCCTTACAGAAATTAACATTTTATCTTACTGTCTCCCAGGGTCATAAGTTTCAAGATTTATTCACTTTTGTGATATCTTCTCACCCATCCAGACACCCACACATTCCCTTAAACATGGTAGGTACTTAATACATATTTCATGAATGAATGAAAAAATAAGTGGAGGATAGATAGATGGATGAATTAATGAATAGATGAATTAGAAGGTAGTAAATTCTTGGAAGAGACACTCTGAATGAAAACAAATAAAAACTACAGAATAATTTCTTTCATTATGACTAACTCACTATTCCAACTGAGTTTGTCTAAATGGGGTATGACTACAATATTATTAAGAGCTGTTTTATGTGTATGAGTTAAGGGAAGACTCAATTTCTAGGGTTTTAAAAATATAGAATTGAAACCTCAAAAATAAATGAAACTACAATAATCTTAAAAGATAAGTAAAATAATGTTGCAAAATTATCTAAATTAAATTTGAAACTTGTTTTATAATACATTCAAAAGCTCAGAAGAGATATTCTTAAGATATTGTTTTCAAACTTTTTCAATAGAAGCAAAAAAAAAAAATGCCTTTTTAAACTGATGAGAATGGATATTATACTTGATCTTAGCCAAAAGGCTGAGAAGTGACAAGAAGTGCCTTTTCAAATGTAAAATTCTTGAAATGATAAAATGAATTATAAAACTTTAACACATCAAGAGTACTCACACCTACTAAGGATGATAGATGAAGGAGATTAATTATAAGAAGTATCATCTTAAAGGAACTTACTGGTGTCATACACATTTTATATGTATATGTATTTGTGTGTATATATCTAATGCTGTCATAAAATATGTTAAAAATAATTTTGAAATGTTTTGTCATGCTGCAATATTGTGTTTCAGATACTTGAAATAAACAATCCATTCATCAGAGCCTTGTATGTTTTAAAAGTAACTTCTTGATTATATTTTTATATCATAATAGAAATTATTTTAAGACAAGTTTTCCATCTCATGAAGTTTCCAGAAAACAGAAGACAATGTTCAAGGTATGACACTTATCTTTCTCTTCCCTGTTCACTCATCTCTACTAACTCCTGCTAATTGTCTTTTTACATACTTGGCTTAAAATCTACCTACTCTGAACCTTTCTTTAACTTCATTACATTCACTTTTTCCGAGGCACCCCGAGCCTTCTAGTCATATTCATGTTTTACCATGATAAAAAAATGTTGTCTCCTAAAAACATGCAACTTTCTAATAATTTAACTAGTTAAATTTAATTTGAATCTTCACTTTTCAACTACACTGAAAGTTTACATTAGGCTATTACCACGTCTTTTATTTATGATGTATTTCCCTGCTCTGTACTTATTATGTCATTTTGCAAAATAAGTCTTCAATAAAATTTTTCAATATACCATAAAAAATTATAATTTCAAGGATGAAGCATAAGTTATGTAATTCATAAGCTTGTTGTATCTAAAATATTTATGTTTGATATCTACAGAAACAACTTGAAACTGATTCTGCCTGAATGCAGATAAAAATCAAATATTTGGTGCTTTTCAGAAATGAGTGGCAGTGTGTCCTCAAGCATTAATGTTTGCTGCCAAAGGGGAAATAAAAAAGACAAGTGAAATGCAAGTTTACACAAACAGATTTTGCATAAGACAGCCTTCATTCAGTTCAGATCAGCTCACCATTGCTGCTGAGACTCATCCACTTATTTTTTCATTCATTCATGAAATGTTGTGCAGACAACACCAGCACAAGACTTTAAGCTAAAGGAACTTGCCAAACATGGATTCAGGGTGTTTTTATACAGGCATGTCTCTGCTAGCTTATTACATTAGAAGAGAGAGAGCAGCACTTTGTGGTTTTTCTATCCATATCTATACCTGCCACCATAAGATTTCAAGCTCCACTTAATCCCATCGTTACTTTTGCAGCTACATGATCCTAAGAGGAAAGTGCTCCTTTTCTATAGCCAAGAAAAACACATGTGAGTCCTGGCTTTGTACGCTCTCCCGGGTAACTACCTGAAGTCTGTCAGCCTCTTATCAATCCACAAGGTGTTACTTTAGGGGAAATGAAGGCCAAAACAAGACAGGGCAGACAGATCTCAGAACCTCAAAGAATCCCAAGCAACAAAAAAAAATATTAAGTTTTTCAATTAGTAGGCACTTAATGGGGAAAAAGCAAAATGATGTAGTAGGTTAAAAAAAAAAAAAAAAAAAAAAAAAAAACCTCTAAAGGAAAGCAAGAGAGAACATGATTAAAATTTTAAAAAGAAGAAGAAAGAAAGGTTGTGTTATAAAGATAAGCTCAACTCCTCAAATTCAACGTCTTAGATCAGTTTCACTGAGTTTGCCTTTAAAGTTATATTTTCAACTACACAGAAAAGTAATATTGAAACTACTTTGTGTATGTTGTGAAGCTGTTGTCAAGGATGCTGCTGTCATGACATGCATCGTTCTCTATAATGCCTCACAGCAGAAGTTTCTTTGTCACCCCAAGTAGTTGCTATGCACTTCCTCTTTTCTGCACTTGACAACTACGCAAACTTATTTCTTCCCCTGACTACCACGGAAGCCCACAGTAAATTTCTTACTCATTTATAAAATTCTGTTAAGTTCCTGTGGTTATCATAGTGTTTCATCATCTCCAAAATCTTAGCATGTTTCTTTTTATATTTTATTAATTTTCTGCAACACTATTAATTTTCATGCAGCCTCAAATACTTTTTTGAAAGAGAAAGGATTTGAACAAACAAAATGGTATATTAAAGGCCTGTGTTTTCTTTCTTTAAATTAAGAATCAGGGGACCAAACTCTATTATCAACTAGAGGGGAAAGAAGAAAGAGAGAGAGGAATCACCACAAACACACACATACACACCACATATATATACATGTATATACATATTACACACAAATGTATATACATATATGTGTGTAATATGTATATATATGGATACGTACGTATATACACATATATGTTTATTTATTTATTTTGGAGATGGGATCTCATGCTGGGTCACTCAAGCTGGAGTGCACTGGCATGATCATAGCTCACTGAAACTTCAAACTCCTCGGCTCAAGCAATTCTCCAACTTCAGCCTCTTAAGTAGCTGAGACTACAGGCATGTACCATTATACCAGGCTACTTTTAAATTTTTCTATAGAGAGGTGGTCTAACTGTGTTGCCCAGGCTGGTCTTGGACACCTGGCCTCAGGCAACCCTCTTATCTTGGATTTCCAAAGTGCTGGAATTACAGACTTGAGCCACTATGCATGGCCTTGGCTAATTTTTTAAATGTATGAAATTAGTACTTTCAGCTCTGTTTGTATCTCTCTAATTTCTCTGCTGAGAAGTGCAGGGAAGGGAAGGAGAGGGGAGTGGTAGGGGTGTGAGGAAGGGAAGGAAAAATAGTCACCACAACTGCCATGTGTTGTGCCACATAAGTGGCTTTTCTCCAAAACACTCTGGATATTTTGAAGGTATGCATGGCATTATAACTAAAACAAAGATAGGCTGAAATCATGGTGTTATAAAATAGTTTGCAGAGAATCCTGAATTGCACAGCTAACAATGAAGGCTTAATTTTACTTTCAGTATCTGGTACTTTTTCTTTATATGATGTGTCTGTATAGTACTTGAACTTTCCAATGCACATCATCTTAACTTTCCAGATTTCAAAGCTCTTCTGGATTTCAGTCAATCGTCAGATTTCAGTCTACATCCAACTGGTTGGGCATCTGTTATACGTGAACACCATGATTCTACACAGTGATGTGAGAATTCTTCGTACTCAGTCAGTGGGATCACTCACATAAAGCTCTATAGATGCAATATAGTTCTTCTTTTTGAAAAGCACTTGAAAAGAAGAGCTTTCCAAAAGCTCTTCTGGACTCTTTTAAGAGATTCTAGTTCACAGGCTTGTGATGGGTCAGGGTTATCACTGTCTTTTGAGAACTCCCCAGAGTATTCTAATGTGCTACCAGGATTAAGAACCTATGATTTAACCTAATTGTAAAACTTTCTTGTGTTGTTGGAATGGGTTTTGCATTATCTATTTTATCAGTCATTGCTTCTGTATAAGAGTTTTGTGTAAATAGGATAATCTCTTAAACTATGAATACAGTTTCTGGGATGGTATGGATGAAGATGTGCATGGGCTTATAGACAGAGAGAATAGAAATTAGTTCCAAGCTCAACCTTGTTTCTTCATTCATAAAATACAAATATAAATATCTTCCCCTTGGGGCTACTGAAAGGATTCATTATAGTATATTGTTACAAATGTCCTATTTTATTGTTAGTTATGGTTGTTAATATCTTACTGTGCCTAATTTCTAAATTAAGTTTTATCATAGGTATGTATGTATAGAAAAAAACATAACATACATAGGGTTTGGTACTACCTGTTGTTTCAGGCATGAATGGGCTTCTTGGAACAGATCTCCTTCAGATAAGGGGACACTACTGTACCCCAAAATTAGTGGTATAAGCAAAATTGATTATTTCTCATGACACTGTGCATTGAATGAGCAGTTCTTATGCTTCA